TACTGATACAGAGACACACATATACACACACACACAGACACACACACACACACACACACACACACACACTCCTTGACAGATACATTTACTGACAAACACACACAGACAAACACACTCACTGACAGACACAATCACTGATACACACACAAACACTGATAGACACATACTCACACACACTTACTGACAGACACACACACTGACAGACACACTTACTGACAGACATTCACTGACACACACACATAAACACTGAAAGACACATACACACTCACTGACAGACATGCATACACACTCACTAACAGACACACACTTACTGACAGACATACACACTCACTGACAGAAACACACTTACTGACAGACACACACTCACTGACAGACGCACACTTACTTACAGACACAAACTTACTCACAGACACACAGACACACACACACTTACTGATAGACACATACACACTTACACAGGTTTGCACAAACACTCACAAATTAATTGTATTGATTGTTGCTCCTCTCCCTGGGGTCCAGTGGCTTTCATGATCTTCCTGCTCCTCTGGGATATCCCTTTGGGATAAGCAGGTGCCTACTCTGCATTGCTAAATAAATACAGCTCCAGGGGCGCCCTTAGGTGGACAGCTGGCCACTTGCTGGGCTCCCTGTGACAGCCCATCAGCCCTGGATAACATACACTCACACTTCTTTAAAATCAGAGATGACTTAATGGGCTCACACCAAAAGGGCTAATAGTTGACACAGGGGCAACATCCCACATGATTACTAGCATGAAAAAGTTTCAAAGTTTTGATTATACCTTTATACCAGAGAAACACTTCATGCAGCTTGCAGGTGGCAAAAAACAGCAGGTCTGACATTGAGGAAAGGTGACGCAAAAATTGAGTGTTAGCAATAGCAACCCTTTTGGACCAGAAACATGTAAGGCCATATATGCTGCTAAAGGTTTTAATCAATTAAAGAGAATTGATCACTTACAAATATTCTCCCCAACTGCATATACCATATAATGCATATATTACATCAGTATAAATCCTACTTCAACTAGCAGCAGACCCATTACTTACTTCTTCATCAAATGGATATGAAAACAGCCTACTTACAAGCCCCAATTGATAGTGAAATTGATTGTGAAATATATGTAGAACAACCGTAAGGTTTTTGAGGTCAAGTGCAAACAGAATGAAATACTAGTTCTCAGACTGAACACGTTATTGTAGAAATTTGAAAAAGTGCAACACGACTATTTCAGTAAAAATGAGTTTGATCAGAATCGTAGACCACTGCGTGTACACGAAACAATATGATGGTGAAAAAGTGATACCGATAAAATTGGTAGATGATGAATCAAAGATGCAATAATATGAAATAATACTCAATAATAGTGAAATAATAGTCAGTGATGTAAAAGGAATGCTTACTTCTAATTTCAAGATCACAGACATTGGAAGAATCAAACATTTCCTATTCATCATGTTCAAACAAAGTTATTGTCTAGTAAAGATGAACCAACATATCAAAGATTCTGGAGATGTTTGGTATGACAGAGTGTAAGTCCAGATAAACACCATGTGAACAAAGGCGAGATCATCATGGTCACAATAATCCTGTGGATACAAAGAAATATAAAAATAAAAAAATTAAAAATTACGACCTTTAATGGGCAATCAGTAGACGTTTACCATGCTTGTCAGAAACAACAGAACAACATTTGGTCACAGCTAATCTTATAACTTGTTATATTGAAACATACCATCAACTATGATCAGAGGTGTAACTACAAACCAAGGGGCCCCGGTGCAATACACGGTGACGGGCACTCGGTCGCAGGGTTAGTTCCGCCAGTAGTTCAGCCGACCGCGGTAGTTCCGCCAGTGACTATGATAAAACAAGCAATGGATAAACCGCGCCTCCGTCAACTACGAGCTGTCTTACAAGAAGTGTAATCAAGACCTGAAACTGGAAGCATTACAGAGATACTGATTGGGCCTCTAAAGTGAACTATAGCAGATTTCATGACCTAGCTTACAACACATTTCAAGTTGATACACTTTTGAGTTATTTGTTTGGAATGTAGGTTTCTTTAAAATAATTAAAAAAATTAAATAAACAAAAAATATATATGTATGTATATATAAGTGTGTCTGTTGTGAATAACACATGTGAGATCAAGCAGGGGGAGACATAATCCAAATTATTTTTCAATTTTTTAACAATGTTGTTGCCCCGCCTCTTCCCTGTTGAGTGTGGAGCATGATTAGGGTTGCCACTTGGTGGTATTTTACCAGCACAACTGGTTTGATGCTGCCTGGCTGGTGCCTGTATTGCAAAATACCATCAATACAAATGCTGCTATTTTTCTCAGTGTAGACTGAGATTACTATCTGCCACACCGGCACTAGCCAATAGAGGTCTGTGTGTGTGGAAAGTGGCAGGGATAGGAAGTTACATCATCTCCCTTCCTGTCTCTGTGGACTGAATGTGTGAGGGACCAGCACTGCACACTACACAGCAGGTCAAAGGACCACTCTAGGCACCCAGAACACTTCAGCTTAATGAAGTGGTCTGGGTGCCAGGTCCCTCTAGGATTAACCCTTTTTTTTATAAACATAGCAGTTTCAGAGAAACTGCTATGTTTATAAATGGGTTAATCCAGCCTCTAAGCCCTCTAGTGGCAGTCTCATTGACAGCCGCTAGAGGCGTTTGCGTGATTCTCACTGTGAAAATAACAGTGAGAAGATGCCAGCGTCCATAGGAAAGCATTATGAATGCTTTCCTTTGAGACTGGCTGAATGCGCGCACAACTCCTACCGTGCATGCGCATTCAGCCGAAGAGGAGGAGAGGAGGCGGGGAGGAGGAGGAGAGCTCCCCGCCCAGTGCTGGAGAAAGAGGTAAGTTTAACCCCTTTCTCACCCTAGAGCCCGGCGGGAGGGGGTCCCTGAGGGTAGTGCCAGGAAAACGAGTATGTTTTTATGCTATAGTGGTCCTTTAAGCCAGCAGCTTCCAGCCTGCAGACAGACTGCATATCAGGTAAGTAAGGGATGGGAGGAGACAAGGGAGAGAATAATCTGCAAGGAGACACACTGAGAGACAAGGAGAGACACAGATGGGGGTTATCAGGAGGAGAGACACAGATTGGGGTTTGGAAAGGAGGAAAGACAAAGCAACTGGGGGTTTAGACAGGATTAGAGACACAGCTGACGGTTTAAAGAGGTGGAGGGGCACAAATGGGGTTTGAACAGGAGCCGAGATCAGATTGAGGATTTAGACAGACAGAGTGACACAGATTGGGGGTTTGGACAGTTGGAGAAACATGGATTGGCAGTTTGGGCGTTTAGAGAGACACAGATTGGAGATTTGGACGGGAGGAAGGAAACAGATGGGGCCTTGGATGGAAGGAGAGACACATTTTGGAGGTTTCGAAGGGGGTAGAGACACATGTTGGGGGTTTGGACAGGAGTGGAGACATAGATGGGAGGTTTGACAGAAGGAGATTCACAGATGGGGATTTGGACAGGTGGAGAAACCAGGGGGTTTATACAGAAGGAGAGACACAGATGTGAAATTGGAAGTTGGACAGGTGGAGAGGCACAGTTTTGTGGTTTGAACAGGATGAGAGACACAGTTTGGGGGTCTGGTCAAGAGGAGGTAGTCAAAGGACACACATTGGAAGTGTGGACAGGAGGAGAGACACAGATGGGAGCAATCTCCCCAAAATGCAGAGCAATCCCTCTATAGAGCAGAATCAAACTGTAAGTAGTTTTTTTGTGATTTATGGATTTTTCCCATTCCGAATGTATTTTTTCGCTTGTCACTCCTTGTGATTTACATCCTGTGATGTCATTTCCTGTCATGTCACCCATTTAGAATTAAGTATATAAATTAACATTTCAGTTATCTTTTTTGAAGAATGTGGCAACCCTAGGAGCAGCAAGGTGCTAAACATGTGTGTGGTATTGTTCCTCTGTTATTATGTGCACCAGCCAAGTTATTCTACCCTCAAAATGCAGATTGCAACCACCCTCTCCCCCCACGTTGCTAGGGGTCCTCAAATACCAAACTAAATGAATTTAATCTGGGCCTTGAGGCTTCAACTCCAGGCTTCAATATAACAGTCAATGGGCAAATTGTTAAAAAAAAACCTCAGTGGCGCGATAGTTAATTATGTGGCCACTGGTCAGCGCCTATTAGCAAACACATTAAATGTTACAGTAAATAAATACATAAATTTAAATTCTATGGGAGGAAGAGGGGGGTTAATAAAACCTTAATGTTACTAATATGAAGGTAATGTATCTCCATATGTTCTCACCTGCCATCCAGCAACTGGGGGCATATCTACTAAACATTAAAAACTAGTGACTGAGCAGTCATTGCAGCCCAGTTGCTAGAATAAAACCCATCCCACGAACATTTAAAATTACTTTAAATTTTAGGGAAGTAACCTATTGTGCCCTCCTCAGCACCTACCCATGGCGGCAGACGGGGGCCTTAGTTAATTAAAACATTGATGGGGTGGACATGCCACTGTCTACCCCTCCCAAATAATAGTAAGCCCTCCCCATGTGGCTATTGGTCCCCAATCCCCTTAACCAACCCCAGTAAAGTAAACTCTCTACCTAACCCCTCCCCCCCTGTCACATTAATAAAAATTAGGGAGATAGGCAATAAAACTAAAACCTGTATAAAAAAAATGATACTTGCCATTAGAATTCTTCTGTTCTTTAGCACCCCCAAAAGCCAAATAAAAATCCATAATAACCAATTCCAAGTAAAAAAAGGCCTAATCAAAATAAAATTGAATCGTAAAAAAAGAAAAACGTGCCCCAATAAAAAAGAACTCTCCACAGAATGAGCGCTTTTATAGGTTTTGCAATATGACCAAGTAAACCAACCAATCAGAGCGCTCTGACCGCCAAGTCTCCCTTTAAAAAAGGTTGAAATCAAGTTATATAACTATTACTTGGAGCCAAAGTAAAACAAATTAAATACATACCCTTGTATATTTTGTGGATGACAATGGTGCAGTATTTCGGAACACGGTGAGGATTGTGACACTGTGACATCGCAAACCTGGTAGTTTCGACTAGCAAAAGCAGTGGTTTCACAAATTCCATTCTTTCATAACCAATCATCATGCACTTAAGTGCAAAAGCAGCGTCAATGTGTACCAGCCTGGATAAGGTAAAGGGGTATATCCGAGTTAAAGGGAAAAGAGATGTGCCAAAAGAGCTTGGTATTCACTGCTGCAATGAACGTGCTACTCTTCCAGCATTGTTACGGGCAAATGCAAATATTACAAGTTTTAGAATGAAATGTTGTATTTCTTAAACTGTGTACTTTGTCTTTAAGAGATATTGCAAACTGACAAGGTGTTAGAAATGGAACATATTGTTTTTCATAACTGTTTCTTTAAGCAATAACCTCAGTGCATAATATGTTTGCGCCATTTTGTCCCAGACGAATTACAATAACAATAATGCATAAACAAGCTTCAAGGCTATACTACGACACTTGCAGTACACAATATACTGTGGTAACCCCAAGTTAATGGAACTTCCCCAAATCCGGGAATCTCCCACGACTGTACACTTACGACTTAGTATAAACAACAGATAACCTATTCAGACTTTAAGATGCCATCTTGAACTAAGTCAGGAAAATTTCCATGACGTATACACCCTTTAGTTATGGCCTTGTATGTTTGCCAAGTTAAGGGAGGTCCTAAATTGAATAAAGTAAAAGAAGTGTTACTTTTTCATATTTGAACTACAGTAACCTAAAATGGAGACACCTAAGGTATAAATAGGTGTACTTTTAAATGTTAAGACACAGAGGAGAGACTTGGAGACAGACGCTGCTCCATCTTAAAATGACAGAGAGGCTGACATGATGACATGTTCAGAAGGGTATGTTAACCTATTAATGATATTTGCAAGCATGTAATTTAAATCTTATAAACTCTGCTATAATGGATTTTATATTTTTATATAATAAATATCCAAAAGACAATCTTGCTTCCAAGACAATCCTTATTTTATATTGTATTCTCAATTATTTATATATGTTAAATAGAGGATCTCTTACACTATATAAAATTATGGCTAAGATATCTGTATGGTTAGCCCTACTAAGTTCTATGCTTTAAGACATTATAGTGGTAAATAAAGGAACCACACACGGTTACAATTGGCGACCACGAAGGGACTTTGTACTTGGAAGCTTTAAATATAAAATAAATACCTAGGTAACCTCTTATACGTAAGAGAAGACACAATACTTTGTCATGGCACAAGTCTTGAAATATCAAGAATCTATTGAGCTACTTGTAGCCCAGACTCAGAGAGAGATCATTAGAGATGATTTTAATGTGAACAAGGCACTGTGAGTTTAGGTGCCAGGTACAACGTAATTAGCATACAATGCTGAAATTGTGGATCTTAACTAATATCATAATAGAACAAATGCCTAATACACCAGCATAGCATGGCCCGTTAGTTCCAGGACAGTGGATTGCAGACAGGGGGATATGTTCTCTTTGTAGCTGCTTAGTATGCATGCGCAGGAAAAAGATTAATGCAAAATGTTGTCAAAAGAAAAGTGATAAGACTGAGCGATGAAATTTGAAGTCTAATTCCAAGAATGCAAAGAAAAATGCATTATGGCTTAATGAAAACATTCATGCAACAGACAGACAGGATTTTTAATTATTGCATTACTGCGTTCTGGATTCTAATGTCCACTATATAAGAAAGGTTTTAGAAAACAGTGATATTTTCCATATTGTCAGTTAGGCTAGCTGTTGATTGAAAATCAGGAATTATAACAGCATAACTATTTTTGGAGTCTGGAATTTCCAGCCAAGGTTGCGGAGATAGAGACATGTAAACATTCCAAGGAATTGAGAAGTCGTTTTATATTCCAAATTATGAACAACATTATTACATACAGCCATAAAGAAAAATACATGGCTTTTAAATACATTCAATGCAGTATATATTTTATATAACATATGCTAACTAGCTCATATTTTTTCCTAACCAGAGTTGAAATTATACTACCCTCCTATAAAAAAGGGCAACATGTGGTTATACATCCTTTGCTTCTCTAAATGCTCTGCGAAAATAAATATTGATAAAATGATTAAAATATATATGTAAGATAAATCAGGGCAAAATAAAATTGTAACTATACAGGATCTCTAATAACTTTTAAACTGAAATTATTAAAGGCTTATTTAAATAAAATGTTAAATACATTTACAGCTTTAAATGTGACCAAAAGATATTAAATGATGTGTTAAGCAGCCAGCCCAATTCACTAGAATAGCATAAGTATTCTACTATTTAAAGTGCACAATTCCTGCACATAATGACTTTGCTTACTCAGGTACAGTATTTAGTCTATTGCAATGGCAGTAAAGTCCACCAATTTTAAAAGGGAAAGCTTAGTTAAATCATTGGTACTATCCCATCGTACTAGCTGTAAGGAAATTAGAACAATTATATTGTACTACTGACTGTAATCAGATCAGACACATGTAATCTCAGTGAATTTCATAAACTAGGTTTTCATAAAATAAGATTAAATATCAAAGTTGTTTATATATCAATATATCAATGTTGTTTATAAATAAAAGTATGTAGACTAGGCAATAACAGCATTTACATGCATTCAGCAGCCTGCTCTCTCAGAGCCAGAAACGGATTAAAATAAATAAAAATATAAAGAGTAGGTTTTAAAAAGTCCACAGTCAACCACACATGAAGGGTGAAATAATTGCTTCTTTAAAAGCTATATGCTGCTGCAATTATGTATATAAATACTGATTAGGGCACAGAGTAGAAATAAAAATACAGTTTTAAATCTCATATATGGGGATTCAGTTCCACCACATATTCTACAATTCTGAAAGAGGCTAATTTTAATAATATGTGTAAGAGCATTGTTAATATATATAATGCAAAATTAATGTGATATTGCAAAGCCTGCACTATTCTAAACAGACATTAAACCTTATAAAAAAAATAAATAAAAATAATGTATAAAGAATAATGCATAAAAAAATGCAGTGTCAATTAAAGTGATGATACTCTGATATATTAAAATCACATTGCATTTCACATATCTGCTATATGAAAAGTATAATTAAAGTGACAATACTGTCCAAAGCCCCCTCACATCTATTTTATAGAATCTATACTTTTTTGTGGTCACCTCCAAAGAAGCCTCTGAAATTGGGGGGCTCAGAGGGGTGCTCATCCCAAAAGAAATCAGATTCCAGACTTAAATTTTTTTTAAAATAAATAAATGATAGAAAAGGAATCACGGGAACACCCAGAACATGCATTTTTATATATAATCTTAATTTGCAGATATTTTATGCCTTAAAGACATATACAGGATATTTTATTAAATATGCAGGTATCTTTAAAAATTAAACAATGTTAAAAAAAAAAAAAATAAAATAAAATAAATAATAATAATAAAAAATTTATTTTACACCACAATATAAACAGCTTTGTTAAACAGATTTAAGTACAAGTACTTATGTCAAGAAATATACAGAATACGTTTACAACAGGCAGGTTTAGAATAAATGCAAAGTTGTTGTTTTTGGGGATTTATTATTGCCCAAGAAATCTCTGAATATATTCAGAATTTTTGAGAGCAGCATGTAAGATAGCAGATTGCAATGGACACCATTACAATATTGCTTTGCCTATTGATGTCAGAGTTTTAAAGAATAAATAAATAAATGTTCTATAGCTCACTAGACCACTGGCTTTTAATGAACACTTTGCACAACACTTATAAAATAGTTTGTAATACTGCACATTATAGCTGTGACAAAATAAAACACAGGGTAACAATGCTGTCACTGTTTAATAGACTTACACAGTATTTAAGGATGACATGTTTCTTGCAAAGTCATCGGGACTTTGAGGGAGGTTCTAACTACGTTTAATTAATTAACTTACTAAAGAAAAAGAAAAAAAGAAGGTTTTGTTTTTCCCCTGCAAGTGAGTTTTCAGCGCAAGGTCATTTTGTGTTCACAAACTATCGGTTTTAAAAAGCTGTTCTTTATCTTACATTATGAACGGCCTTGTAATTCCTATGCACACTAAAAGTTGGCTTTTAAATGTTATTGTTTTAACTTTAATATTTCATAGTTAATACAGAGGATAAAGTAATTTAAATAAAGTACATTGAAAGTATATTAATTGATAGGATTTCATTTATCTATTTTGGTCCACTGTTCACTGATCTCGTATCTCAGTCTGGTGTTCAAACAGTTTTTCTTACGATACGTCGTGAGTTTATATCCACAACTGCATTTTGCTTTGTGGAAACAAATTGAAAGCCTGGCATTGTAATATGTGTATGGACATGCTTATAACAAAGCATGGTCCCTCTCCTCATGTAGTTGGTCATTAACAGGCACTTTGATGCAATGTGTCTACCAACGCTTTTCTGTGGTCACTGGATCACATCGCATACCCTATCTCTCAGTCATGATGCAGAGTTTATGCTTGCAAGGATATCCAGACCTTATCCACCTGGTATCCGTATAAATACTCCTATCATTTAGAGGGGTTAATTACATAATAACCATTGAAGGTAATATGTTGGTTGTTCTTCCTATAGAGGAAAGATAGACTTGCCCTAAAAGCTTTTTCATGGCTAGGACAAGCTCTTATAGAGAGAGATAATGTACTTCTGACTCCTGAAAAGGAATATTGGTGGTCACAATATGGGAAATACTGTAATTCATGTGTTTAGTAATCATAAGCATTTGCTTATTGCTACATTACTGATGTACTGTTTATTGAAAAATTAATATCTAACATACTTTTTGAATTACTATATATTGAAAGTTTGCCAACATCTCATGGTTATAAATATGTTTTTGTATATGTTAATGCATGTACCAGGTTTACTTGGATATATCCTGTGCGAAGTGCAACCTCTGATGCCACGTTTTCTAGTCTCACTTCCTTAGTATGCATTTGATAATCCCAGGACCATCTATTTGGATGGTGGTCCTGCAGTTACTGCAAAGGAAACCTAAAACTGGGCAACCACATTTGGGTTACTTTGGGATTTCAGTGCCCCAACCACCCCCAAAGAAGTGGAGTTGTGGTCTGGGAGAATGCTGAGGTTGAATGATTATT